AGGCCGGAAATAAACAGTGATTACTTAGGAGAGCATTTTACAGCATGTAAAAATGAACACAGAACAGCTAGGCTAAGATATATTGTAGAGTATATTAGTATTTTGAGGAAACAGATTATTTGGCATTAAACCCAGGTCAGAACATCATGGTGAGAACCTTATGAATTAGACCCAGCTAGCGCATAACATTCTGAGAACCATATGTTTCTTAGAGTTTGGTGAGAGCATGGTTGTCCTATAGTTATTTTGCATACAACCTTCCCACAGCATTCTGGGAATGGTGCAGCATACCCAGCTAGTACATAACATTCTGAGAACCATATTTTTCTTGGTGGGTATTTCAGTACTTAGGCATGACGTTTTCTACAGGTTTCCTCATGGTTCTATTTAAAGTCATGTTCTCAGAACGTTCAGTGAATGTTAGGAAACAACGTTCTTCTGTGGGAATTTTTGTACTTCAGCATAATGCTTTCTTCAGGTTTCCTCATGAAGGAGTGGGTATCTGATCATGAGGGAGTGGGTTTCTGATCTATTTAAAGTGATGTTCTCAGAACATTAAGAAAACATTCCATTAAAAAAAAACACAAGAGAAAGTGTGTAACATTCAAAGATAGTTCTAAGAATGTTATAAAAAATTATATACACTGCTCAAAAAAATTAAGGGAACACTTAAACAACACAATGTAACTCCAAGTCAATCACACTTCTGTGAAATCAAACTGTCCACTTAGGAAGCAACACTGATTGACAATACATTTCACATGCTGTTGTGCAAATGGAATAGACAACAGGTGGAAATTATAGGCAATTAGCAAGACACCCCAAATAAAGGACTGGTTTTGCAGGTGGTGACCACAGACCACTTCTCAGTTCCTATGCTTCCTGGCTGATGTTTTGGTCACTTTTGAATGCTGGCGGTGCTTTCACTCTAGTGGTAGCATGAGACGGAGTCTACAACCCACACAAGTGGCTCAGGTAGTGCAGCTCATCCAGGATGGCACATCAATGCGAGCTGTGGCAAGAAGGTTTGCTGTGTCTGTCAGCGTAGTGTCCAGAGCATGGAGGCGCTACCAGGAGACAGGCCAGTACATCAGGAGACGTGGAGGAGGCCGTAGGAGGGCAACAACCCAGCAGCAGGACTGCTACCTCCACCTTTGTGCAAGGAGGAGCAGGAGGAGCACTGCCAGAGCCCTGCAAAATGACCTCCAGCAGGCCACAAATGTGCATGTGTCTGCTCAAACGGTCAGAAACAGACTCCATGAGGGTGGTATGAGGGCCCGACGTCCACAGGTGGGGGTTGTGCTTACAGCCCAACACCGTGCAGGACGTTTGGCATTTGCCAGAGAACACCAAGATTGGCAAATTCGCCACTGGCGCCCTGTGCTCTTCACAGATGGAAGCAGGTTCACACTGAGCACATGTGACAGACGTGACAGAGTCTGGAGACGCCGTGGAGAATGTTCTGCTGCCTGCAACATCCTCCAGCATGACCGGTTTGGCGGTGGGTCAGTCATGGTGTGGGGTGGCATTTCTTTGGGGGGCCGCACAGCCCTCCATGTGCTCGCCAGAGGTAGCCTGACTGCCATTAGGTACCGAGATGAGATCCTCAGACCCCTTGTGAGACCATATGCTGGTGCGGTTGGCCTTGGGTTCCTCCTAATGCAAGACAATACTAGACCTCATGTGGCTGGAGTGTGTCAGCAGTTCCTGCAAGAGGAAGGCATTGATGCTATGGACTGGCCCGCCCATTCCCCAGACCTGAATCCAATTGAGCACATCTGGGACATCATGTCTCACTCCATCCACCAACGCCACGTTGCACCACAGACTGTCCAGGTCTGGGAGGAGATCCCTCAGGAGACCATCCGCCACCTCATCAGGAGCATGCCCAGGCATTGTAGGGAGGTCATACAGGCACATGGAGGCCACACACACTACTGAGCCTCATTTTGACTTGTTTTAAGGACATTACATCAAAGTTGGATCAGCCTGTAGTGTGGTTTTCCACTTTAATTTTGAGGGTGACTCCAAATCCAGACCTCCATGGGTTGATACATTTGATTTCCATTGATAATTTTTGTGTGATTTTGTTGTCAGCACATTCAACTATGTAAAGAAAAAAGTATTTAATAAGATTATTTCATTCATTCAGATCTAGGATGTGTTATTTTAGTGTTCCCTTAATGTTTTTGAGCAGTGTATAACTATACATTACGTTCTCAGCATCAACAAAACTCTCTATCCTCTATCTTGTTACGTGTGTTCAGGTGTGTTGGCCGCGCCCACTAATTGGCCACACATGATCTTAATGAGTGCCTGTTTTCTTTAAAATGGGGTCTGCCTGAATAGACAAAAATGAATAGCTTTGTATGAGTTTTCTTTTTTTTTACATTCTAGCACATTCCTCGTGGCGCAGTGGACTAATTCCATGATTAGAGAACAGAAAATCACAGGGTCGAATCTCACTGATGCTGTAAAAAGAAATGTGCTTATATTTACATTTTAGTCATTTAGCAGACGCTCTTATCCAGAGCGACTTTACAGTTAGTGAGTGCATACATTATTTTTATTTTCATACCTAAGCAAACTAATTTCCATGTGTCCTATCTGTGCTTGGAGTTCAAAACAGTTAACCTAAGCTAGCAGTCTTATTGAAACGTTCTCAGAAGGTTATTTAATTACCGTCAAATAACCTATAATTTCCGTTCTCAGAACATTAATAAAACTTTCAGGGAACCATAGTAAAATGTTCTCAAAACCTCAATGCAACCTAAAAAGGTGAAATTTTCACTCCCGTTCTCAGAACGTTTAAAAAACATTCTGTTTTACCAGTCAGGAAACTTATGGCCTCGTTCCCAGAACCAATGGGAAACCAAAAACGTACGTTCCCACAACTTCCAAGGAGCCAAATGTGCTAGCTGGGGAGACACAAAAAAGGCTAATTGAATTTTACTCTGCCTAAAAGTGCTGCCAGTCTTCATTCATTTTGTGATTTGATGTTAGTCTGTAGTCTTTATCCTTGCAGTGAAGCACTTAAGGAGAGTTTTAGTGCAAGCTCTGTTTTTGCTTTTGTGGTGTTGCTGTTGACCTTGCAGTTTCTTCAGCCTCACACTCTGACAGCTCGCCTTTGGTCTTTTCTCATACTTTATTTGTATATGTGGTAGACACTCTGCCTTAAATATTCCCCTTTCTTCCCACAAACTGCCAGTGACAGTTTTGTGACACATTCACAGAGGACTAAAGCTTTAAATGGCACAGTAAACCATTATCCAAAGTGAATGTTCCACAGTGTCAGGAACACTTTGCTTTGGTTTTAAAACCACTACATATGGACTTATGTCGAATTTGAAGGATTGTAAGTCTTGTTTGAATGATCAATGCATGATTGTTAAGTGTCTATTGCGCGTAAAACAATTATTGATCTAATCACTCCGTGTTGCTTGGCATTTAGTGAGGTTGCCTCTCTCTGTGCAGGTGGTAAATCCTAGCTGGAGACATGGGAGATCAGTCAGTCAGCCTCCAGATTTACACCTGACATGCTCTTAAACCCACTGGCCTAACACTGAGGGTGGCAGAGGGCTTGATGCCAAACACCAGGCCTACCCAGACCCACAGAGCAATTTAACTTTATAGGTTTTATAGGTGCATCAGGCTCAGGCTGAGGCTGATGCCGGGGCGCCGCACTGAGCGACGACACAAGCAAAAGAAAGCATTGATTGACCAATTCACTAGAACACACTTTTGAAAGGGTGCCAAAACGCCATAACTTACAGCTGCTCTCTGAATGCCTTTCCTTAAGGTGACATTCAGGGTAAAGCACTATAGTACAGTGCTGGGAGTGGAGACCATGTTGATCATATTAAAATCAGGGGCATTTTATAGTGTATTTTATGATACATTAGCATTTCACTACAACCCTGTACTAGACGGGTATATGGGTGTATCAGTATTGTCTGGCTGCAGACTCAGAATAGGTCGATGCCTCTGAGTGTTCAAATGTCACCGTGCTCATGGCTAATTAT